CTTCGGCGAAAGGGCTTGCTTCTAACCATTTTCGGCCCGATAACTCTTTCCGGCGGCCGACAATATTCGCTAGCATGCCCCTACTATGCGAGGCGCGGTGCACTGGATGTGTCAGGTGATGTTGTTGTCAGGTTGATGGATTTGTCAGGTGATGGCATGTTGTCAGGTGCGGATGGATGTCTTCAGGTGATGGATGTTGTCAGGTGATGGCTGTTGGGGGGGTCAGCGTGAATGGACTGCAGTGATGGACTGCGCCAGGCTGATGGATGCAGTCAGCGTGATGGACTGCAGTGATGGATGCGGTCCAGGTGACTGGACTGTTGTCCAGGTGATGGGAGCAGTGGAATGGAATGGCAGTGATGGCATGCAGGTCGGTGATGGATGCAGTCCAGGTGATGAGATGCGGTCAGGTGATGGAGTCGCGGTCGGCTGATGGATGCGTCAGCGTGATGGATGCAGTGCGAATGGATGCGGCTCACAGGTGGATGGATGCTTGTCAGGTGACTCGGATGCCAGTGACTGGATGCAGTGACTGGATGCAGTCGAGGGTGATGATGTTGTCAGGTGATGGATGGCAGTCAGGTGAAATGGATGCGGTCGAGGTGATGGATGTTCGTTCAGGTGGATGGATGCGAGTCAGGTGAGGATGCGGCTCAGTCGTGATGGATGGCAGTGGATGGATGCGGACCCCACCCCAGGATGATGATGGTTGTCAGGTGATGGATGCAGTGATGGTATGCAGTGATGGATGGCAGTCAGGTGATGGATGCAGTCAGGTGATGGATGCAGTGATGGATGCAGTGATGGAGCGGATCAGTCGCGTGAATGGATTGTGTCAAGGTGATGGATGGCATGATGGATGCGGTTCACGTGATGATGCGGTCACGGGAGGATGCGGTCAGGTGATGCAATGGCAGTCAGGTGATGAATGCCAGCTCAGGATGATGAATGCGGTCAGGTGATTGAATGCGGTCAGGTTGATGAATGGCGGTCAGGTGATGAATGCGGTCAGGTGAGAATGCGGTCAGGTGACTGGCATGACGGTCAGGCTGATGGAATGCAGTGATGAAATGCGGCGTCAGGTGAGGACTGCGGTCAGGTGATGGATGCGGTCAGGTGATGGATGCGGTCCAGAGTGATGGAATGGCGGTCAGAGTGAATGGATGTGGTCAGGTGATGGGATGTGGTCAGGTGATGGATGTGGTCAGGTGATTGGATGCAGTGATGGATCGGTCAGGTGACTGGATGAGCGGTCAGGTGATGATCGCGGCTCAGGTGATGGACTGAGGTCAGGTGATGGATGCGGCAGGTGAGGATGCGGTCAGGTGATGGATGAGGTCAGTGATGGATGAGTCAGGTCGATGGATGCGTCAGTGATGGATGCGTCAGGTGATGGATGCGGTCAAGGTGATGGATGCGAGATGGATGCGGTCAGGTGATGGATGGGCGGTCAAGGTGAGTGGATGGATGCGGTAAGTGTGATGATATATGGATGGCGCGTCAGGTGATGGGATGCGTCAGGTGATGGATGCGGTCAGGTGATGGATGTGGTCAGGTGATGGATGTTATCAGGATGGCAGTACACTATAAACAGAGGTGCACATAACTGGTACGGCATGCACGCAACAATCAAAATGCGTACCTCACTTGTGTCACAAGCGCATTTGCGTACCGACGTACTTGTGAAGCTTTCGGAAGGCGGTTAGATCACCGGACGACAGAGTCGTCTCCATATGCACAGACAGGTCTGCTGTCAACGTCGGTCTGTACAACGGAATTGTGCCAAAACTACGCCAACCGGCTGCGGAGGGAGACTCCCCCCCCTGGAGAACTGCGCTAAAACAGCTGATCACAACGTTCACACTCTGGTCACGGAGTACTCTACTAGCCCCCCCCCCGTTGATGTTCGCAATACAGAGGGCTTCATCAAATAACTTTGAGTGGAGCCATAAGTTGGAGTACCAAACACTGACTCCAGGTACTCATCTGAGTACCTCACTGAGAAAGTTATGTGCACCCCTGACTATAAACCTAGATAACATACTTTAGTAGTTTTTTTATTAACAGCTGATTTGAGTGATTGATGAATTGAGACTGTATGGAGGCATTAGTCCACCTTGAACTGCACCTATATGTTGTTGCTGCAGACACACCTCTTCTTGCTGCCATCTGATGGAGTTGTGCTCCACGCCTTGACTTCCTCTCCTGTGCAGCACAGTTTTGAGACTATGTGTTCATGTTTTTCTTCTGCTGCTTGCTTCGTACTGATTAGTTTTCTGTATCTGGTCAGCCATCTGCTCAACTGGTTGTTTTAAATGTGCTACACAAAGCTTGACTTAACTTCACTAAGCTAATGCTAATAAGACATGGCTTGTTGTTGTCCTTTTCAAATACAGACCCACACTAACACACACACACACACACACACACACACACACACACACACACACACACCCAGAGGCATCATACATTACACATGTCCAAGCTATTCTTAGCCGGCGGTGTTTAGCCCACTTCTGTCTGAATGAGCTGACCCTGTTTTCTGCCCTGATCCTGAGGTCAGGGGTTATATGAGGTGGTTTGATTTGAATGGAAGGTATGATTCCCTCCTCTTCGCAGTTTCAGGACAGTTCAGCTGCAGAGAAGATAAGCTAACATTCAGCAATGTGTTACTTGATCAATCCAGTATTTGGTTGGCAGCCAGTGGAGGTCCCAGAGGAAAGGGATGATGTGGTCAGAGCGAAAAGTGGAGGTGACTAGCTGGGAGCAGAATTGTGTGCGTATTAAAGTTTCTTGAGAACATAAGCAGGTGAACCATAGAGAATGCTGGTGCAGTTATCAGGTCGGGATGCAATGACTGAATGGATGAGAGTTTCAGCAGCGGTGTGCGGCGGATAGGGATGATGCTCTTTGATTGGATGAAGGCAATTTTGATGATATTAAGGCACATAGGAGCTTCAGACATTCCCCAGTGGGGTATTTATTGATGTAATTTATGTCGTTGAACAAAACGTGACATCTCTTCAGCTTGTGTTTACTACAGATCTTATTTAACCACAAACAGGTTCAAGAAAATTGAAGGAACCGGAAGGGCTAAAATGCTGACTTATTTCCAGGTTTATGACTCATGTCTGCGCCAGTCTTTGATAACAGCAAAAAGCAGATTCCTCAATTCTGTGTAGACATCCACAATAATACAGACACTTAAAGTCTCTTTTGGAGCATAACTGTACTTCAAGGTGATTAAACTCAGTACACAGCCATGGCTAAAATATGAGTATCAGCAATAAAAAAAAAACTAAGTGGCATAAGTAACATATTACGATATTGAGACATAGTAAAACAAATTGGGACATTTATAATGAATGTATGTTTTACACATGAAACTGATCATTGCTAAATACAATTGCCCAAAAATGATCTAAATTGCGCCTTGCAGGTTTATTGCACAAGATTGCAACAGTCTGTATTGTGTGAGGGTATACCAGTCTATTTGCCAGAACACTGAACGCAGAAACGTTGAGTTTTATGTTTTATGAAATGTATGGTAGGGTCTCCAGCACATAGAAACTGCCGGATGCTAACCTGCATATGATGGGCAATTTGCACAATTAGCATAAGTTGTGTTAATTAGCATGAATGGCATTAAAGCCTATGCAGACAATAGTAAAAGATGGCTTGGCTGATTTGGATAATCTTGGATTGCTTTTGGTGTTATTGAGGATGCTGAATCCATTTCTGACATTTTCAGGATCAAAAATGGCAGTTTTAACCAGAAAGTGTTCATATTTGTTCTCCCAGTGAGCGGATTTTGATTACAAGGACGACTGTTGCGACCATTGGATATAGAGAGCACAACATTTAGATGATTATCTCTACTGTGGACAACTTTCTTAAAAATAAATAGGCAATCTGTCCAATCCTAAGGTCCAAATCGGCCCAAAAATCTTTTGTACTATTGTCCCCATACAGGGTATCTTAAAAAGTATTAAAAGTTGATCAATTTAGCAAAAATGAAGGCTATTAAAAAGTATTAAAGGGCATTTTCCAAGGTATTACATTTTGTAGCTTGTTTTCAATAAGTATATCAATTTTTCAAAGAGGTTGTGTTCTACAGTTTGCCTGAATGTAATCATTGTGTAGGTGTGTAGTGTGATTCTGTGTAGTTTGATTTATGGCATCCCGTTGGATTTGACGTCATCTGAACAGGACATAGCACGCTCACTGCTTGATAGCACGCGAAGGTCCGTTTACGCCGGGTGTCGCCAATGTAACCGGTTAAAACTCAAAGTGTCCCTGCTAACCCCTGTGTCCCTGCTAACCCCTGTGTCCCTGCTGTCCTGCAGGATGGAGCGGATGTCTGAGGAGGCGCTGAGGCTCAACCTGCTGAAACGAGGCTTGGAGTCCCCCAGCGAGCGAGAGGAGGCTCTGGCCAAACGCCTCAAAATGGAGGGCCACGAGGCCATGGAGCGCCTCAAGATGCTGGCTCTACTCAAACGCAAGGACCTCGCTGACCTGGCAGCCCTGGAGGTCGGGGGGCCCCTGGGGGAAGGGAAGGGGCCCGGAGCCAGCAGCCTCCACCACCAGAGCCTCATGGGAGGCGCCTACGAGGAAAAGATGAACGGGAGTCTGAGGCTGGCGGGCCACGGCAGCCATATTGGAGCCAGTAAGAACGGGAAGGAGAACATGATGGATGAGCCGGTGGACATGAGCGCTGGGAGGAGATGGTGAGGAGAATGTGTTCAAAGAACCAGAGAGCACCGGGGCCACTGATAACAAGCATGGTGGCTCTGTGCTATTCAAATGTCACATCTGCTCTGCCAACACTAACTACGCCAACACTTGAACTGGAAAAATGTTTAAAGTTTTTTGAAGGCCAAATGTGTTGTTTGTAGATTAAGTGATGTGCACTTATTAAATAGGCATAGTATGTATTATGCCAGGCAGTCAGTAGAGACCGTGAGATTATAATATTCTAACTCTTGATTGAAGCGAAATGTGTGGCTGGACTTGAGGGAACAACACAAGTCGCTGAGAGGCTGAGGTCGGGCCTGGATGGCTTTGTATGACGCTGAGAATCAAACATGTGTTGAACAGATCTTAATTTGAATCATCAAAATATTAGACTATGCACAAAATGTATGATCAGAATAACCAAGCTTTTGAAAGTGGGCCATCAAAAAATACAGCGACACACTCACACAGGTTGGTTATGTTCACTATGAGTCACGCCCATATCCATGTGACCCAACTAATCCAACCAATTGTGATCACACAATAATACATTATGAAATGATAAACAATGACCTACACCAAATCATCCAATGGACTATATATATATATATATAATATATTGTGTGCATCTTTTGACACATTTCCCTAAAACCTCCCCCAGACAGAAGTGAGGCCTTATTTATAGGGGTCTTCTACCAACCAGCCAACATGTCCCATAATTACTCCTGTATGCAAGTCGGCTGTGTTCAAGTGTTTGTGAGCTGCTTTGGTTAAAAGCATTAGCTAAATGAAATGTAATGTGCTCAAATGTACACTCACAAAAATGGTTCACTCAAATAACAATCTTATTAACGGTGTAACAAACATAACAAAGTGTGAGAGACTCATCTATTTATCAGCTTTAATAAAGTAAAAAAGGCAATTCCTGATATAACGTAATGGAAGCTTGACAACAGTGATGTTGAAGGCCTCCCTGGCAGAGTGCAGTGCTCCTCACATCCTCTCCCCCAGCAGGTCACATTATGGGATTGAAAATGAACATTTCAGACGCTCCAGAAGTTGACGGACCTTTTTGTTGTTCCTGTAGCGAGGCTGAGCATGACAGACGGACTCCGTCTCCAGACGTCATCATACTGTCAGACAACGAGGCGTCCAGTCCCAGAACGACGCCGCGCCCTGAGGAGCGCCTGCACCAGGCCAACCTGGACCTGTTCAAGGTACTGAACAGCAGCACTGTGAAGGCTCTTCTCTGATCTGTATATTAAAGCATTAGTAAGAACTTTAAAACTATAGAGCACCAAAAAACATTTCCTACACAGGGCTATCTCTGGCACATAACATGGGAAATAACAAACCATGACAAAGATCAATAAGAAGAACAGTCTAAATGAAAGGGGCCCTACTCTGCTGATGTTCAGGAACTCCCTCTGCAGGAAACAGGGATTGTAGTCTTTGCAGACCATTTACATGCGCAAACACATATTAAACCCAACACATTACAGGAGAGGAAACACTCCCAAAAGCATAACAGGGCCTACAATAAACAGTGAGCATAAGAGAGGCGGAACCATCCTCATCACAAATCACCCAGGAAATACATCACTGAATCATTCATATGAAGAAACATCTACTTGAACTCGTTTTTGATTGAAAGGGTTATCTGTGCTGGCTCTTTGGCTCTCAGCTGTGTGTTAGCTATGGTTAGCCATGTAGACACAATGTCTGACTGATGCTGTGTGTGTTCCAGGGGAAAACGGGGGAAGAGAGGCAGCAGATGATCAAGGCTCTGAGGGAGGAGCTGCGTCTGGAGGAGGCCCGCCTAGTGCTGCTCAAGAAGCTCCGGCAGAGTCAGATGCAGAAGGAGAACGTGGTGCAGAAGGTCAGTGCGGAGCTCACTCCAACATCCACCTGCTGTGGAGTATGTTAGCTCCTGCCTTTTGTTTGTTTTGAAACGATTTCTTTTCCAATACACACAAATACATAGATAGTGAAAATAAGAGAAAGAAAAGCCTAAGCAGGGGATCACACTACTCCTCCTTTACAGCCTTTCTTTTTCCTTGTCTACCGTCCATTTCTCCCAGCGTTGTTCACTGCCTCAGTCCTTAGACAGTAGCTCAGTCTTTTCATAGTCAATATCTCTTCTACAACATCCAGCCTCTGACCCAGTCCAGGAGGGTCACTCTTTGAACAGGTCTTTTTTTATAGAGGTCTTCCTTTCCAATTATACTCCAGAATCATGCCCAGATACATAACCCTGGAGTCACAGGGAATCTCATCACTTTATATTCTCTTCTGAATAACTCTGAAAATGCCTGTACTTTTATACATGACCAGAAGATACTGTATGTGAATGATTGGGATTCAACTGCTGACTTGAGTTCTAATGTGTGCTTTAAATGGACTGTAATATGATGAAGTTAAAGCTCAGACACACATAAGTTTGCAGGAATCCCCTGTTAACGCTGTCTGCTGTCCTCAGGTCCCTGTGGTGCAGAACGCTGCCTCCTCTGTGCAGGCCCCCACCATGCACAGCTCTCAGGGCCTGGGGAAGCTGCCTGTGAGGCCGGGCATGCACAACCCGGAGCCCCAGAACCTCCGCACGGCACAGGTCTGTCTGCCATACACGTTAACAACTATCAACCATGGACTGTATTTGTAGTTCTGCCCGCTGCTTCAATAACACATTAGTCCTGCTTGAATAAGGAGGGGAAATAAGCTCAAAGTAGAGGGTCACTCTGAGGTCAGTTTACGGCTCATGGTTAGTACTTCCTGGGTCAGTACACTTGTTTAGTAGAATGTCTTTAGTGTATCTGTAGGAGATAACTTAAGTCTGAGTAAATGACTAGAACATTTAGAAGTCTGGGTGTTAAGGAAAATATGCATTGTGGGAAATAAAGTAAGTGCTATCAGAGTCTGAGCAATACTTGAATTTGCCATTCTTTTTCCAAATATGTCTCCTGTGAGTCCTTAAATGAATTGAAATCCAATATTAAAATCACCGGTGGACTTTTGGTTAAGCTTGGTTTTAGGAATAGATTTTGGCTCTTCAATATTGAATGGACATTTAACATGACCTGGTCTTGTGCTCGAGTGGTCTTGATAAGATGTCGAAAAAATCTTGAGGTGCTTATTTTAGAGGGAGCTGTTGTCAATGTCCAGCCTCAGTTCCTCCTCAGGCCACCATGAACAGTGTGGTTTTGGCAGTGCATGTGTGTGTGCTTCGTTATGAGTATGGAAGAGGAGCAGGATATTGGTGTCTCCTGAACTCTGTGCTGTTTCCTCTCTGTAGGGTCACACGGTTATCAGGTCAGCAGCTAATGCTAACCTGCCCCCCATGCTGATGTCTCAGAGAGTGATAGCCCCCAACCCCTCCCAGCTGCAGGGCCAGAGACTGTCCTCTAAGCCCGGGATGTCCCGCTCCAGCTCCAGCATGGCCAACGCCGTCAGCTACCAGCAGGTAGGCCCCTCCATCACTGTGTCCTCTGTCTGCTGTGGACTACCAGCTAGTCATGGTTAAAACAATGTGTGATGATGATACTGTTTAACGGGATACGTTAGAAAATAGGATACGTTAAGCTTGTACTTAAATGTACATGTACATTAGCACATCCTTAACTAGCATTAGTGCTGCTATGCTACGATAGCTGCCAAAGGTTTAAGATAAGATAAGATTTAATGTGTTGATCCCAATTTGCGAAATGTTTGTATCACAGCAGCATGTCAAAAAGGCTTTGCACTTAATGTGAAAATGTTAAAGAATAGAGAATAAACAAACATAGAATAGAAGCTTCTCAAAATAGCAAATAAAACCAAACTTAAAAGTAAAATATATATATATATATACATAATGACAGTGAAAGATATATATCTGCAGACCATCTGTCAAATATACACTATGAAGGGCCAAATACAGCTGCCAAAATATATGACCTGAATGTATACACGTGCTGCTTTTGGATTGAATGGTTTTAAGGGTGAATAAAGAGCTGCCCTGATTTCCAGGATTGTAGGTGTGCTATTGCTAGTTAGCTTTACACTGTGATCTGTTGCTTTAACGTTAGCTGCTATCTATCTATTGGTTTGAACTTGTTTTTGACTGTGATTTATAAGCTTTACAGTTAGCTTAAATATTTAACTGATTAGCTTCTTAGTTTAATATCCTGGAAATATCTATCAAGCAAATATAGTGGACCCTTCTATCATCTTCCCTCTGAGAGATATGTCATCTGAGAGTGTAGTGAGTGAGGGTCTTGGCTCCTGCTCCGGGAGCTTGAATCATTATTCTGCCTTAATAGAAAGCTAAGAACAAGTTGAACAAATCCATTTAGAGGTAGAACACCATCACTGTCCGCACCATGACATCCAGTCATAAATCATGTACAAATAATAACACATACATGTCTAGTTGCCAGCACTGTGAAACCAGAAATGTTGGGTACCCTAAAGTTTTATGTTAGAAATGTATAGTAGGGTCCCCAGCACATAGAAACTGCCGGATGCTAACTTCCATATGTCCACTTCAGACCTTTTCAGGATATAAATGGCAGTTTTAACCAGAAAGTGGCAGTATTTGTACTCCCAGTGGGCTGACTCTCAACTTAAGCTAATGGTCCAAATTGCCCAACATATGCAGGTTAGCATCCAGCAGTTTCTATGTGCTGGGGACCGTACTATACATTTCTAACATAAAACTATGAGGTACTGAACATATCACGGTTCACGATAGGACTCTATGAGCTGGAAACTACACTATACAGTAGAGGGCAACTTCTAGCCACAACCTGAACCTTAGCGAGGCCAGGAGAATGTTTTTGACTGTGTCAGCTGGTGACAGAAGGGTAAAGTGTGGCTCTCCTCTGCTTAGCATCAGAGAATGTGTGTCTCCCTGCAGGCCAGCCAACAGGTGGCAGCCTCCCAGCGCTCAGGCTCCAGTGCCATGTACATGAACCTGGCCCACATGCAGGCAGCGGCAGCAGCCGGGGGGGGTATGGGTGGGGCTTCGGCCGTCAGCCCCTCCACCATGTCCAGCTCGGCGGGCGGAGTCAGCTCCATCGCAGACCAGGCCAGCAGCCAGGCGGCCGCCAAGCTGGCCCTGAGGAAGCAGCTGGAGAAGACCCTGCTAGAGATCCCCCCACCCAAACCCCCCGCCCCGCTGCTCCACTTCCTGCCCTCTGCCGCCAACAGCGAGTTCATCTACATGGTGGGGCTGGAGGAGGTGGTGCAGAGTGTGCTCGACAGTCAGGGTAAGCAGCTCCTCTTCACCTTTAAGTACTGGAAGATAGTTTGTTCATGTCCTCCATAACCCTTCAAGTGATTAAGGGTCAAATCTGAGCAGCTTACTACTTTCATCAATACAAATCAATATTGTGTTTCACATCTGATAGCCTCAAGGCCTCATGATATCCTCCACAGTAGGCATTTGAACATTTTGAATGGTTTAGTCAACTTTGTAACATCTATGGTGTTCCCAGTCAAAGATGACTTCTATAGAAGATGAATGGGTAACCCTAGATGATGTTCATCCATCAGATGGTATACACGCACACACACACACACATGGGATAGTGGTGGTCTAATGGATAGTGAGGTGGGCTGAAGATCGGAAGGTTGTGAGTTCAAATCCCGCCAGGAACACCACCACTAGTGTGCCCTTGAGTAAGGCACTTAGTCCTTAGTTACTCCAGGGAGAATGTCCCTGTAATTGGTCATTGGAAGTCGCTTTGGATAAAAGCGTCAGCTAAATGTAATGTTACATTTGGAATACATTTTCAGTGTGTATTCTTTGTATATTCCCTGCAGTTATTCATGTTAACCTAATTCTGAGACATTGTTTACAGCTTAAAAGGGTTTTAAATAACATTTATTTGGTGATGTTTAATTGTTGTTGTGTTAATGTAAGAGCAGTTAAAACAGAGCGCTCAAAGTAAGGGGGGAGAAATGAACCTGAAGATGAATGTGATGAATCCTAAAGTTAGCGTATTGCTTCTCTCAGGTAAACTCAGAGGCACGCTGGGCCGGATGGAGCCGTTCTTCTGCGCCCAGTGCAGAACCGACTTCACCCCCCACTGGAAGCAGGAGAAGAGCGGGCGGATCCTGTGTGAGCAGTGCATGACCTCCAACCAGAAAAAGGCTCTGAAGGCGGAGCACACCAACCGGCTGAAGAACGCCTTTGTGAAGGCCCTGCAGCAGGAGCAGGTCAGCACTACACCATCACACTACACCACTACACCATCACACTACACCACTACATTGCACCATCACACTACACCACTACATTACACCATCACACTACACCCACCATCACACTACACCATCACACTACACCACTACATTACACCATCACACTACACCACTTCATTACACCATCACACTACACCATCACACTACACCACTACACACCACACACACACCATCACACTACACCACTACATTACACCATCACACTACACCATCACACTACACCACTACATTACACCATCACACTACACCATCACACTACACCACTACATTGCACCATCACACTACACCATCACACTACACCACACACCCACACACTACACCACTACATTACACCATCACACTACACCATCACACTACACCACTACATTACACCATCACACTACACCATCACACTACACCACTACATTACACCATCACACTACACCATCACACTACCAACAACACCAACATACCCATACACCACACACCATCACACTACACCACCACACTACACCATCACACTACACCACCACACTACACCATCACACCACACCATCACACCACACCACCACACTACACCACACACACACCATCACACTCACCCCACTACACCACCACACCATCACACTACACCATCACACACACACCACACTACACCATCACACACACCACCACACTACACCATCACACCACACCATCACACCACACCACCACACTACACCACCACACTACACCACCACACTACACCATCACACCAACCCACACACCCACAACTACACCATCACACTACACCACTACATTGCACCATCACACTACACCACCACACTACACCACCACACTACACCACCACACTACACCATCACACCACACCATCACACCACACCACCACACTACACCATCACACTACACCATCACACTACACGTCTATATTCTCACTCTGAGCTGTCTGTATTAATGTGTGTTCTTCTTGTGGCCCCCATCAGGAGATAGAGCAGAGGCTGCAGCAGCAGGCCGCCCTCTCCCCCAGCTCGGCCCCCACCGGCCCCAACGCCTCTAAGACTGACTCCATGATCCGACACCATGCACTCCGCCAGGTACACTGCAGCGCTCCCCCCACCCTACACCTGCTTCCAGCCTGCACTGTGCTGTAGTATTCAGGAGAGGCTTGATTTGGAACTCACCCAGTGTTCCATGTGTTCTGTAATAAATGTGGCTAATTACAATTATATCCATTTAAATTGGTTAATCTATTAATTATTTTTTCATTTAATTCACATTTGAGTTGTCTATTAGATATCATTGCTGCTTAAAAGACCATCATTTAAGACATGATTTTATTAAGAGGATTAATAGCTGGTAAAAATGAATTCCTAAAGATATAAACAGAGAAACGCACTGTAAACTTGTTTTAAGCTGTTAAAAGCAAATATCTGCTATTCAAAGACCATATGCAGTACTGCAGTGCACCACTGTGTGGCAGTGATGGTGAAGTTGTTCTATTTTATTAAATTCATCGACTACATACATGTACTTGTTCAAAATTCAAAGTGATTATTTTAAATAAACAGACACATACAGAAAAATATGACAAACATGTGTTGTGTCCCCAGGCCCCCCAGCCCCAGGCCTCCATGCAGAGAGGCCTGTCTAACTCAGCGCGGGGCGTCCTGTCTAACTTCGCCCAGGCCTCCCAGCTGTCTGTGGCCAGCAGCCTCATGGGGATGACCAGCGGCAAGCACTGTGGCAGTGGGGGGGGCAGCGGCAGCAGCAGCAACAGGATGCAGCACGACAGCCGCCGACAGATCTACAACATCCCAGGTACTGCTGCTGTCTGTGTCTGCGCACTTGACGTTACTTATGTTGGTTAAATATGCATCTGAGACATTGAAAACAACAACTGTAGGTAACGTATGTATATTTGTATAGACAACCTGAGCCAAACACCAACCTGTTTCAAGAATATAAAGCGGCTCATTACAAATATGTGAAAGTTTAACTGGAGGAATGTGACTCCTGAAGTTGCTATAAATGAAGATGTCTCACTCTGAGTAGACACCAGCCGCAGAGAGCAAACAAACACACAGCTTTCACTGAGTCCTCTCAATTAGTTGCTGGAAGATTTCATGTTAATGAGATAGTACACATCTGATATGATATGTTTTATACAGCGCTCTTTTAAAGATTCATTAACAGTTACTTTGATATCAAGTTGATGCCAAAATTCTGTCCCGTTTACGTGTTCAAATCTGAAAGGAAATAACAAATATATATTTCAGTACTGCGGGGCTGTGTTATCTGAAACGCAGGTTTTCTTCACCGCCCCTCTCTGTCTTATAATACGCACACGTTTGACTATTGGCCCGTTCTGGAAACACAACGTTTGTTCCTCATAATGCTAAATTGTAAACAAGACAAATCTGTAATGAAATGAGCAGAAGAAGCTAATGTTAGCTGTTAGCTGTTAGCGGCTGCTCGTTTACAAAGCAAAGGTTATTTCTGCAGTTTGTAAATAAATATATGGTATTTAAGTGAAAGTGTATCTTACTGTGTGTGTGTGTGTGTGTGTGTGTGTGTGTGTGTGTGTGTGTGTGTGTGTGTGTGTGTGTGTGTGTGTGTGTGTGTGTGTGTGTGTGTGTGTGTGTGTGTGTGTGTGTGTGTGTGTGTGTGTGTGTGTGTGTGTGTGTGTGTGTGTGTGTGTGTGTGTGTGTGTGTCCACAGGGTTAAATATCGCCTATCTGAACCCCGCGGCGGTGGGGGCCCATAAGAGCTCCAGCTTAGCGGACCGGCAGAGAGAGTACCTGTTGGACATGATCCCCCCTCGATCCATATCGCAGTCCATCAGCGGACAGAAATGAGCCCATCTGAAGCCCCACCCCCATCCTGCCCTCCTACCCCATACTGAAGCACTCCCAGATCGACCACCACCCCCCCATCGCATGCAGTGCCTGTCCGTGTGCCTACCTTGAACCAACCCATGAAACCCACGAGTCGGACAAAGACACTAAACTGTCGGTGCATCTCAGATGTTCTTCTTATAGTACAGCTCTTCTTCTTCGTCAGCGTTGTTTAACAATTATAATTCCCATTATTATCGCTGTTGGTAGCACTATTATTATACCTGCAACTACCACGTTTGCTTCAGTTTACTCATTATGCTTTTTCTTTTATACGTGTTCGCTCCGTTTTTGTTTCCCTCTTTACTTTGGGCAGTGACAGGAAATCACCGTAGAGCTCCACCATCACGTAGGATTAAGACCTGGTTATTGCTAGTAACAGAAGATCAACAGGGTGCATTCTGGTTGCTATGCAACATAAAGTTTAACAGCTTTGTAAAAAGTGTTAGCTCTTTAACTTGGAGAAACAAAGTTTAAAAAACTGATAGGAACAAACAGACGGGGGCCGAGCACCCCCACTCTCCCCTGGTGAAAGGGCCAGTTTCAGGATCTGTGACCACCGACAGCCAGCTGAAGCTCCATTCACTCCACCTGAGTCGGGGGGGAATCTGGAACCCACAGGAGGGGCCCATGTGTACTGAAGAGAAGATCAGAGTTTGGAAAATCTTTTCCCCAGTCCCCATCAGAGGCTCATCAGGGGACTCTTCCTGTCAGCCCCTCCCCCGCAGATCACCTGGTGGATGTAGGTGTAGTCTGTCATGAGCACTGACACCCTGCAGAGAGCTCATCCTGGAGGATCATCTGAAGCCCCCCAAGTGTTCACAGGGAAGTGTCCACTCAGAGAAAGGCAGTCCATCTCACTTCCTGCTCCCCCGCCCCCACCCTTTGGTTATCCAGTATGCACAGACTGAACCCTTTTTACCCCCTAAGCTCCTTTTTGGCGTCATATGTTCTTTAAATGAACTCAAGTCTGAAGGTGGAGGCACATTTCCTGCATCCAAACCACAGATTCTCTACCTGGAACCTAAAGTCTGGGTTCTATTCTTCTTATATTTTAGTTTTTGGATTGTTGGCCCCTCCACCCAACTTTCCTTCTCTTTTTTTTTTTTTGCTTAGTTTTATTTGTTAGTTTGTTTGTTTGTTTGTTTTGCGGCGTCTCCTAATGAAATGGTGGCGTACCTGAGAGGTGTTAGCCACCGGAGACGATAATAATCATCAAAGCTAAAAACAGAAACTATTGTATGGATAATGTATAGATACCTAGCTTCAGAGGGAGAAAATAAACGATGTGGATTATATCTTTTATGGGAGAGACATGATCAATCATTGTGTGCATGCTCTGCACACGAGTCGCCTCACTCCAGAGGAGCACTTTGCATATTTCCAATTGGAAAAACATTTTTTTTAAAGGAGGTAAAGAATGTTACAATTGAGAGTGGCTAGAGTCTGGATGCTGGCTGATGGCCGACCAGAGGTGTGTGAAGATTGTGGATTGCATCACGGTGTGTTTTATGGGATGATGAATGATCCTTTGCCAGTGTTGATCTCTTGTTAATGTTGAACCTCAAGTGTCGGTTTCCAAATCCTGAAAAAAGAAATCCACTTTAAGTAAATGTATTGTCCGTTCAATCAGTGGGACACAACCAGACGCAACAACACCCCCTTTACATGAGTCGTGTCCCCATGGATATCTCTCCTCAGATACTGGCTGGTACCATGGTCACAGCATGGACGCTCTTCCCTGATCTCAAATCTGTTCCAATTTGTACATTTCCTTCCTGAACTGGTAAACCTGTTCTGTAAATGTTTTATTTAGACTCAGTTTCATTAACATTTTCCCCAAAAAAGCATGGATTATTACAAGAGGAAAGTGATTTAGACCTCTCCTCCATTGACTGAACAGACACACTACCCTTATGGAAAGCGTTGTAACAACAGTGCAGGGTTCTGAACCATTTCATTATAATAATTGATCATCTGCTAAATCTATAAATCTAGATGTCTGACAAAAACTGTTCAGTGATTTATTTTCACCTATGGAATGTTCAATCCATGTCGAACCCCCCGGGCTGATGCATGTTACATGTACAGGTCACACTGACATGGGAGCAACACTGCAGAGGAAACGCTGGCCAACACGTGCTCTGGCAGCCATGTTGGATTCATCCGTTCTAAATGTTTTTCTCAGATTCTGTGCAGTAAGTGTGTGTGAATGGAACAATCAGCAGTTACTTTGTGTTCGATGGATATCTAACCATGTTTGGTTGCGTTACACTCAGTTAGTTCATTCTGGAATCTTTCACTTTTCATCCTCTGCAAAGCGTTGTGCAGACTCTCACTTTGTCAGGAAACTCCTGCAAGCTGGATACATTCTCATCAGCCCCAGCTGTTCGCTGTCTGCAGTGTTAGCATGCTCACATGCTAAACTCAGATTGAAACATGGTTAGCAATAGTGACTACCTACCTTGTTATTGTCGTTGTTAGCTTGTAAGTATGCTGACATTAACATTTAGCACAATGCACTGCTGTGCTAAGTAAAGCTACACAGCTAGCACGGCTGTAGTCTCTGGTTGTGTTAAAGCTTGTTCTGCTGAATGGCAAGCAATGCAAAAACTGAAGCTAAAAAAACAAGAGAAGTTGAGGTGGCAGGTTAAAACCTTTTTCTAAAAGTATCACATATTTAAAACTTATTGAAAAAGAAACTATAGCACTTCACAGGGAAGAGCTAGCTTATCATTTACAATAGTGGAAGCTAGCTGTGTTAAATTAGCACGCCAGTTAGCTAAACTAGCTAACACAGCCTCTCTTCTTTTCATTACTCAGTGTTATTTTATATTTGTTTCTGTCCATGTACTAAAATTCAATTTGTATCTGCATTTCAGGTTAAAAGTAAACACCTAACATTTTAAGCGACATTTTCGTTTTAACAATAAAATTGTCCTTTGTTAGTTGATGTGTTGTTGCTAACGCAGAAGCAGCATACTATCTATTTTGAGCCTTTTTTCAAAGTTTAGTAAATCAATGGTAAAACAAGAATGTCGGGCTAGCTTCTAAAGGCTGTGCCACAGAGGTGTGTGTGTGTGTGTGTGTGTGTGTGTGTGTGTGTGTGTGTGTGTGTGTGTGTGTGTGTGTGTGTGTGGTTCATCACACCATCCCATGATAAATAGCCAGTGAAACTACCTAGGGTGTAAACTAAGTGTACACTTTGAAAATTTGTGCTAATTCTAATAAAAAAAGAAAACATGAATCAATTATCCTTTTGGTGGAACAGTTGACATTGATCAAGAGATATATTTTCATGAGTTTTAAATGTCTTGGATACATTTTTTACTGCCACACAATTTGATTTTAGCGATGGTTTTTCCATGCGTCTCCTTCTGCTGCCAAGCTTGAGAAAAATCTCCTGTCTCTGTTGCAGATGCGCCCACACTCTTTGTATCCGGATTTCAGATTCTTTCTTGAAATCTAAATTTGAAGTCATTGTTTTTCTGACGTCTCAATTATGTTTTCTTTCTATTGCAGTTTAAAAAATAAACAAATGTATTGACTATGAAATAAATGACACGATATTTGCTAGGTTTGAAGTAATAATGACTTATTGTACATGAGCATTTTCTCCTCCCTTGTTCTGAAAAAAGAAATTAAATGGTTGTATATTGTGTAGAAAAGCAAACAAAAAGCCATGAATATTGTGAAGCTTGTCATTTCGTTTTGTGATCACTGTGTATTATTGTGTAACAAATGTGCAAAATGTTTGGGATTCTTTCCCCTCCGCTTCTTGGAGCTCTCCCTGGATGCATTCACCTCGGCGGGGGCTAGTTAGCGTTAGCAGGGGGGCGCACTGGTTCAGACAGTGCGGCTCACATCACACCTGTGAACATCTGATCTCTTCTCTTGGAGCATGGAAACTGGAAATAACTTTAAAGAATGGTTTCCTGCCCATCAGATGATTCATTGTGTTGGATTACATGGAGCCCTCATGACTTTAGCGTCTCATTAAACCACGTCTGCTGACCCCTTTGTCCACATTACCATATTCTATGAAGTGGACCGGTTACAATCACAGCGTGGAAAGATGTTTAAAAAGTCAGTTTTCCAGAAATCAGTTTGTCTCATACACACTTTTTCTGTGACCGGGACATTTGCTCTGAAGAATGTTGGTGTTTTAATAAAGTTATTTAAATGCTGTGAGCAGATATCTTAAAAGCTGAACAAATAAAATCATAAAAGGTTTAGTTAGGACGTACCCTCCAGTTCTAGTGGGGGCTAGAGCATGGGCAAAAACATATACATAATTCCACATGTCAGTGACCTGATAATGTACAAAGATAACCTGTTCACACTTTTCATCGGGGTTTAAATGCTATCAGCGACCGGGGGAACCCTGTTTTGAGATTTGTCGCTTAGTATTCCATCCAGTAGACCTGGGGACAGCTGCTTCTGAACCAGTGATCACTTCCTGCCGACCTCAGAGTACCCCACATGCGCTCCTCTGCTGCCGGGCTTTTTACTTATATTAGTTGTTGTTGCTAATGCAGGGAAACATTTAATTTCTCAATCAGTTTTATCAATTTTCAGTTTACTTTTTGTATAATGTGGGATCTGCAGAAACGGATGATGAAACCAACCGGAAACTAATTGAAGTCCTTTTTTCGTTTTGCTTACATCAATCCTGACCTTTTGCACATACTTGATATTTAACGGTCTTCAAAAAAGTAAAAGAAAATAATGCTGTTTGAATACTGCCAGTTGAATGACAATTATGCATTGATTGAAAAAAATAAGCTAATTTTGGAGGAAATAACTTTGTAATATTTATCTCTTGCAAGCTATGTTTAATAAAGGTTGAAACAATTTGCTTCCAAGCGTGACTTCCTATTCCTGGTTTTGTGATAGAAAGAAACTCTTTATTTCAGTGGCGAGCCGTGACTTTTATACCGAGGCCCTCTGACAGCTTTGACATTACACTCTCGTTGAGTTACTATAGCTGGCCCTCTGTGAATTCATAGCTGGACCACCAATCAGCTCCTGTCTTCACAGTAACTCGCAGAGACGGCCAAAGGAGCTTCTTTCATTTAACCCTTCACATTCCAACAGAAACTGAATAGGCAGATTCGAAGGATTTATTTCTTTGGAAATGTTATTTTAAATACAATAAAATCAAGCTTTTTTGGTAAAACTAATGAAAAATATAACAAAAAAAATATTTGTAAAAGATATAGGCTATTACAAAAAAAAATGTTCATGTTTTTAAATATTATTTTGTAGAATATCTTAGGCCCTAGACGGCTCGCCACTGGTTAGCTGCTTTTATCATGAAGATAGAAACAAAGCCATCTTACAAAGAGTCCCTCTTTTAGTTTGGAATGGATTCAGTTTGCTCTATCTGCATTATTACCAAATATGAGGTCTGGAACCAGGCTTTAATTAAAGCAGAGTATTTTGAAATGGAGATACAGACTTTGACAAGAGAATACAGAAAAAAATGGGTTTGGGAAAATATAGAGAAATGTACAGAACATGTGCAGACATTATTACAACATTTATTAACAAATACATGCAGGGGCGGATCTAGACAAATATTCATGGGGTGGCAAGAGGGTGGCAGGAGAATTTCAGGGGTGGCATCCCCTGGCAGAAGTATATGCTGATTTAATCACATTCATATCAATCAATGTTAACTTGGAAAGCCACAATATTGATCAATAACATTTGGTGACATTATTGTGGCACATCAGTAAAGCCTTAAATAAAAATATATTAAGGTGGCAGGCTTAATTTAATGAACTTTAACTGAATGAGTTGGTTCAACTCTTAGACCAGCAGGGGTACCAAATATGCAGACTGCTGCTCTAAGTACATTAACTGTGTCATCGATGTGTGTCTGTATGAATATGATAATATTAACAATCATATTATTCCTATCAGCTGTCAATCACTGTTATGATTCACATATTCAGTGTTATTATTAAATAAACTATATTTTTTGGAGGAGTTAATGATGAATGTTCCTAAAGATGCTTGCTCATCCTCCTTCAAATTTGAAAGACCAGTAATTACTATCATAATTCAAAAGAATACAAAGAACAGTTCAGCGGCCCCACAACTTCATTTGCAAACAGTTGACAACCTTGACTATTAACAGGTTAGAAAGAACATTAAAGAAACTGGACTACCGAATTCTTTCACATTTGGGGCTTGAATTGGAAGCTTGCTGAGACAGGGGCGTGTTCTCTGAGTATGTCGGGAGGGACTCGGTTCAGCTTGGATTTAGTGCTTTGAGTTCTGATAAACTGGAGCCTCTTCTCCGTGTCAGTTAGTGCTTCTAACAGCATATATGCTGTTTGTCCAATGCCTTGGCTGGTGATATGGTCCAGATGGCAGTACCAGCCTTGCCAGACTATAGCTTTTCTTTTTCAGCTTTTTTCATGCGATTTTAGCATGTCCATGTACCGAGGTTGTCCTGCTTTGATCCGTATGCTTCTTGCTGTTGTAGTATTCAGCATTCTCATGTTCAACTACAGCTATTCTATGGGCTTCCGTTTGTCCAAGGTTGATCATCTGCTGGAATCGAGATCCTTGCTCGTTTGCCTCACTGCTTGAACAGTTCCTTATTTGGGTTCCATGTCTTCTGTCTAAGATTTTGAAC